CGGTTTATTTTCATCTGAAGCCCGGCTGTTGTCTGGACGGATTCCACTGAGGAAAGGAAGCCGATTGTTAATTATGTGTGGGTTTATTTCTGGGAAATCCCGCCGGTTTTAACAAGCGCTGCCAAGTTTTTTACGGATACATTGCCTGATATTTTCAAGTTGTGAGGGAACCTGTCGGTTGCGTTCATCGGTTGTATTAAGGGGCTCTAAATTATATGGACCCACAAAACCCCAACAATCATAAGTGTTCAGGAATTTCCTTCAAAATTATACCCTTAATGGGCACGAAATGCGGGGGCCAACACCCCTTTGTTGTAAGGGAAGAAGATTTCCCCAGAAAAAAGTTGGACAGTTTGGGCATTCTAGGGAAGGACGGGCATAAGAATAGATGTATTGCCTCAGCAAACTTTAACCAAAAATTCGGACAGGGAAGTGGGGGGAAAAGGGGCCGAAAAACAACAAAGGTAAAATAGACCCTTTTCTTCATTCCAAAAAAGAGCAGAAAATTTCTTGATTTTTTGGAACTTTAATGGCATTTCAGGGAAAAGAGAAAGATCCGGTATTAACATAGATGATGGACAAAAATTGCTTTAGAATTAGGGGAAAAGTTAGGAAGATAAAAAAATTGGATGGGGGGACAGAAATAACGGTGGGAAAGGGAGGTTCTCAATTATCTTTATGTTTATTTGGGGGACGGACAGGGGGAAATTCCATTGTTGAGGAGGTCGAAGGGAAAGACAAAATGTATCTGGTAAAGGAAGAAGGATAAACCTCTGTGATTTTCTTGTTAAAAACATAAGTAACACATTAAAGGACAATGTTTTGCTAGTACAATAATGTTGTTTATTCATAGAGCATAAAGATAAAATAGTCAAAAAACATAATTAATTTTTCATTAATACTTGGAAATGGGCAAATATTTTGTTGTTCGTTGGGGAAATTTTAGAAGTATTTCAAGTTTGGATGTGTAATTATTTCCGTGATTAGGCTTTGACGAAAAATCCATGAAAATATAAGAAAATTAAAATAGATAATTTAGGGGCAAAATGACGTAAGCGTTGTGTTCTTCCTTAATTAAAGGCATTTCCAAATTTGTTTATGCCACAAGTATTTCCAAAAGAAAATGTTATAATCAATGACAAGTTTGTTTGAAGGAAATTAACCTAAACAAAAAGGTTAAAAAGCGCGGGGCAAAACCAGGTTTCACTAAAAAATAGGAATAACTTAGAAAAAACAAAAAACTTAAAAGATTTTTTTTGCCTTGTGATTTTGCATTTACATTGATATATATGTAAACATGGTGTAAAACCGGGAGGAATTAAAGTGATTCAAGTTTTAAAAGTACTTTTTGAGGGAAAAAATAAAACTGTTAACATTTTTACCATTACATTTTTGACCTATAAAGGCCCCCACAGATTTTTGCCATTTGACCATTTTGACTTTTTGAAAAATTTGAGTGGACAGGGGTAGGAAAAACCTTTTTCAAAGGTGTATCCCACAAAAAACTGCAATTTTAAAAATGTTCAAGTTTATTCAGTATTTGAAAAAAATTGAACATGAACCATTAACAACGGAAATTTTACCAAAAAAATGGATAAAAAACAAAACTCAAACGAACAAAACTAAATTGGTCCAAGCTATATACCCTCTAATTGTTTCTTCGGAAAAGTGAGGTTTAATTTACCCAATTTAAACGTTTCTAATTGTAAAACTTAAAAGATAAAATTTAAAAAAGTAATAAGGCGATTTGGTAATTTATTATTTTGTTAGGAAAAGTTAAAATTAAACCTTTACCAAGGGGGGAAAGGGATGCACTTGTAAAAAATTCAAAAGGAAGAGTGGAGACAAACAGGGAGAGGGAATGGTTTTTATGTTTACAGAAAAAACCCAGGTTATTTATACCCCCAAAACTATTCTTTACGGGGGGGGACCAGTTTTGGACTTCACCCGAGTTGGACATCTTGGACAGGGAGAAATGGGACAAGAAAAATGTTCATTTATGTTACCAAACCCAAAAGTTCCGATTTCAGGAGGTTTATTTTAAAGGGGACAAAAAAACAAGAATAAAAAAAAACTAGATCTGGCTTTAAAATGTATTTTTTAAGGTTTGGGTGGGCCCCTCTAACCCACCTCTGTACAATCCAAAAATGGTTTGGCTAGCCCCTTAATAAAAAAAGAATATTTGTTGGAACGGGCATAATAGGGGCAAACATTGTTTCAGAGGGAAAGTAATGTAAAACTTAGGGATTTAAGGTTTATGACATAAACCATTTCATCGGGACTTGTGGAATGTTTGTTTACGATATTTTCAAAAATGTTCAATTTCATACCGTGATTATAAATAAAAAAAGAACAATTATTTTATATCTTAATTTTTGTTCTTGACTTAAACCTCTTGCTAATCTGAATAAATTAAATACAATTTATAGAATTAAATGGAAAATACCAAAAAAAAAAAAACCACTTTCTTGGCTGTTTTCATAACCCCGTGGATGCCGTTTTAAGGATTTCGGGGGAACGAGATTTACGATACTTTCTACCAAAATAAACAAGGGAAATTTGTCAACCAATTGCCTGAAAATACCCCCGACCCACCCGGCCTTGGGGTCAGAAAAAAAAAACCGTCCTTTTGATGGTTAATAAAGTTTTCACCATAGGGGGAGGAATGCAGTAAGTTTATTCGTTTTTTTTTCAAATGGTTTTTGAGTTTATTAGTCCTTTACATTCCAATAAAACATAAATTTTCAAAGTTGGGATTTGAATTGAAAGTTTTCCATGACTTTCTTTTAAGGGTAATACGTTCTTCTTCCTTGCTCTTCTAAATCAGCTTTTGAAGAATTCTTAAAACTACTTTAAAAAGTTCATTGTATACTTCATTAGTCCAAGTTATTGGGCCCCTGGCCAAACGGTTTTAAAGTGTAAAAAATGAAAAAAAAAGGCTTATTAAAACTTCGGATTATACGGGTAAAAGGGTATGGGCCCTTCCGTGCACTGAACTTTAAATTAGTGAGATTTCTAATTTACCAAATTTTAAAAGTGTTCAATTGGTTATTTCTTTCATAGTTTCTCATTTTTTTCTGGGAAAAAAATCTATGTGTAAAATGAAAAAAGGGGAAATTTACCCAAAAATAAGGAAGACAGAGTTATGGTCTTTTAGCACTGAACTTTTCCCTTTTTGATATTTATCTACCTACAGAGTTTTTTGTTAATACCCTTTGTCGCTTTAGAGTTATGACACAGTTTTAAGTGTAAAAATAAACAAAGGGCAGTTACTCCAGAAAAGCCACGACAGAGTAACGGTTCCTTTGCACTGCACTTTTATCAATGAAATCTATATACCTACGAAGTGTCTTGTTAATATCACTTGTCTGTTAAGAGTAATGTCCCGGACAAAGTTCAAAGTGTAAAAATAAACAAATGGCAGAAAATAACGGAAGGTAGAGTAATTATTTGTTTGCACTGCACTTCTACTCAAAATACTTGCAAATATCCCTGGTCGTTTTTAGATTATTCCAACAAAAATAAATAAAAAAAAAAAAAACAATTCTCCAAATACAAAGCAGGTTACGGTTCTTTTCATCCTTTGGCTTAATCCAACGCAAATTGCTAAAAAAGAAATGGGGCTTTTTTAAACAATATTTTAAAAACAAATTTAAATTGGTCACTTTGATATTTTCCCTTATAAACGGGGTTTTGACAGTCTTGCCCCCCCCCCTTTTTGAGGCCTCAAACAGTGAAAAAATGCCCTATTTAGGCCCCAAACACTGTTTTTCGTTTGAGAATTGTTGCTAAAAAAGTGACCACATTTTCGGCGCCGCCCTCCATCCAAATGTTACATCAGCGGGTTGCCAAAATGGGGATGTGCCCCTTCTGACATGTGACAGGCTAAAAATGGCATCAGGTCGATCTTAGGGTAACTAGTAACCGACGCTGAAAAGCCTTTTACTCTATTTCAATTCATTGAGAAGTTGCAGCACTTTGAAATCAGTTTAAATGGAAATAAACAATGCAAAATAGTGATTTTTGGCAATTTTGAGACGTCCCCTGTTGTCATGGTAACAGGAAATTTACAATTGAGAATGCTGTGTGACAGAGGCTAGTTAACATTTGTGCTAAGTTTCATCAGTATTGAAGCATTTTTGATAGTTTCATAGAGTTTGAACTTGTTACATGCGGCTTTGCAATGAAAACGGCCATTTTTTGCAATATGCTCATGGGGTAAAAGGCTAACGTCGATACTTTAACAATGTTTATACTGTCAAATCCGAATATTTATCATACGTTATTTCAACGTTGAAATCTGATCACATTTCAAAGTTGTTATTACGTTGATGTGCCTACTGGGATTCTGTCCATTCTATTTCCGCATCCGACCGTTACTATATCCTATCTCGTTGCGAATTCTTCTCCGTTTTTAAAAAAACTCTATGTCATAAGTGTTTCATTGAGACTGAAAAACATTTATTCCCACCAGGAAAGGCAAGTCGACAGTATCACTGGCAAACAACCGTTGGCCTGGTAATCTACCTGAACCAGGCAATCTAATGCATCATTATAAAATGTAATACCCACACTTGAAGCATGGAAAATAAAGTTCTGCTGAAGAGGCACTGGTAAGTAGTTGGTAGCATCCTAGGAAATTTGTTTTTTTTTATACTTTTAATTTTTATTAAAACATACGTTTAAAGAAGTTCAATGAACAGTGGTAGTTCGAAAACAAACACAAAACACAGAAATTTGAGTTTTCGTTTTTTATTAACAAGAAATGAAATGTTGTTTTGACATTTATTGTTTCATCAGAACATAAGCATAATTGTTTGCCCAAGTAAAAACTAAAAAAAAAAAATAAAAAAAAAAAAAAAAATTAAAAAAAAATATTACCAGATAAATAAATGATGCATCAAGTTACAAAACTGGTAGAGTAGTATATCTAACATACTGACATACGAGTACAGTATCTTTTACACACCAGACAGCCAGTTGTGTTTCACAAATACTAGATAATATTTTATCTTGTAATCTATAAACATGTAAATGTTTCTCGTAATAAGCAGTGTGTATGTCTTCGTATTCTAAATTTCATGGATAAACACAATGGTATGACACATTTAACTATTTCATTAGTTATTTAATAAATTCACAAGAATCATATTGTTGTAGTCATAAAAATGTTAACTACATGTATATACAAACAAATAACTGTAAGTTTTGTTTCGTTTTGAAATCGTCAATATATTTGTTTATTAACTATATCACTAAAGCATATATTGTATTGTATTGTATTTGAAAGTTTTCATTATGTAAATTGTGACATTATAAACCATGTGTTATGTAACGAACTTCTGTAGCCATTAGTAAATAAACACACATCTGTTGTTCTGTATTATCAAAATGGTCAGCAAATTTTTGTTGGAATTTGAACGTAAGTGAATTCAAAAGTAGACAGGCAAAAGCTAAACAGGCAAAACCTAAAACAATCGTATTGGGTCTTTAAAAAAATGCAACCAAGCCAATACAAAAGAAACAAGAACAATTAATGCTGAAGTTTATAAAGTTATTAAAAATAGGAATAGCTACTCATAAGGGCTCTTATTCTTATTTTCATCTGGACAGACGACCACAATTAGTTTTAAAGGGCTAAATATCTGCAACCTCATTGTGACAAAATCGAAAATACAATTTCTGTTTGAATGAGAAACTCCGCTTTCGAGCGGGTTATCCGTTAATTTACAAACGTGACTCTATCAGCAGTGTTAATCTAACTATATATTTTTGCATTATATAACTTATATTTTCATACAAATTCATTCTGTGTTATGAGATGATTACTTTTTTGTGAACACAAGGTCTTATGCACCGTGAAGCTAAAACGCACTAAGATTAGATAAGAAATTATCACATTTGTCGTATTCCAGATAACATTTCAGATAACATTTCATTTTATTTCGTTTATTGACAAATATCGGCATTTTAAATACCTTTAACCATTTACACATACTGAATATGGTCAAAATAAACATATTATATAAATATTACACAAATAACTAAACATTTAATCTTTGAATTTACAACCGAAATGACGTCATCCTAGGCATATAGTTCCCTTCTAAAATGACGTCAATTTAACGTAATACATTAATCAAATGCGCTAAATTGACGTTGTTGTATGGCCCTCGACTCATCTGGCACCCCATGCCAGATGTAATTTCCAGCACCGAAACGCCAGTCTGCTATGCAAGAAAATAAAATCTTAGAAGAGCAGCAAATTTCTCAAATTATAAGCTTCCGTTATAAACTTGGCATTTTTATAATACTAGTTCTACGATTTGATGACATACCTCATTTACAAAATGTCGATGACGTAAATCATAATATTTATTACAGTGTAATAAAAATGGTACTCCGATTCAACTGATTGTGATGAACAAATATAGAAAAGAAGAATAGCTAATACGATTTTTTCTTTCATTGCCGGTATATCTACCTACTTTAATTTCAAGACTACGTGCTGATATTCTAAATCTAGTGTATAGCTCTCTTTGATTACTATTAGCTAACATGTCTAAATAAATTTCATAATAGAAATCAACTTAAATTTGCTTAAAGTATGCAAGTTTAATTACATTATGAGACTCCATTTGTCAGTTTTGGACATACTGATCTCGAAATCTTCGCTTCAAAATACAAAAATAATTACAGGAAGAGTAACAATTTAACCATATATCACTGAAATCTAAACTATCAAGTAAAGCTTTAATTGTATTTGACCAAGAATTTACGTTCTGAAGATTACATTGTTCTCTAAATTTTTTATACATATGCATGTGTTGATTACACATGACCCTCTATTTCTATTAAAACGGACAAAGAGAAACAACCGAATTATCCTAATACCGCTATATCAGATGATTGTGTTTGAACACCAAGAATATGTTCGCAAGATTTTATATGTAGTTTATCAATTTCCCTAAATTGATAAACGCCCCAAATCCATAGAGCGTACAATAAAATAGGTAGAGATATAGAGCCAAAAATAGGAATATGATGAACAAAATCAACAAGGAAAGGGGGCGTTCAATGAATGCAACCCCCACACGACCCAGCAACAAGAACCATTGGCAAGGAGCCCAGGCGGACAAAAACTGTACAGGGCACAAGACAGAGCACTCACAGGCTATACATTAGAATGATGATTAATTTGTAACTGATAAGGAACCTAAAGAAGAAATAAATAATAAATAAATGATCGAATAATAGATAAATAATTTGTAACTGACAAGGAATTCAAAGACAACAAATAAATGATAGTATAATTGGCCGACAAAGTCAAAGGGCACAGGGGAAGGGGATAGGATACCCGTGGAAGGGGGGATAAATAAAGAAATAAGGCCAGGGGCAAAAAGGAAGTTTACTTTTAATATCAAGATTGGCGCAACTAAATAATGACCGGATACTATTATATGCTTTGTGAGCTTGGTCGGTGAGCACATGCACAGTATTTTTCATATTTCCATTGTAAATAAAGTTTACAGATTGTTTTCTATCTTCAAAAAAACAAACAATGTACTTTTGACTTTTTAATGTCAATCTTTAAATACCATTTAATTGAGCATTGATAAATACAATCAAGTTGGACTTGCAAGCTGTCTGCATTTATTGTAAACAAAAAAATGTTATCCGCAAAAAAAATCAACATAACTTATACATAGATAACTGGTTCAAACACTATCAGATACATTAATTAAATCTTAACAATTATTGACATCAAATAGGAAAGGGGAGAGTGGTTCTCCTTGTTTTAAAGCAATACTGACTTAACAGTCAAAGCACAGAAGGCTCTGAATTTGTTTGGGTCTCCGAATGTCAGAAAGGTGAAGGTTGTGAGATTATAAACCAATTTGTTTTTGTATAGTGCCAGCAATGCTGTTTCCAGTGATATAACTGTAGTAAATTAGCTATAAGGCTCATTGCAACACTGATATTCAATTCAGTGTTTATTTGGCTTACACAATTTAAAGACAAACAAACAAAAAAAACAACAACAAAAAACAACAACAACACAATAAGTTGCCTTAACTGGGATTTAAACCTGGCACTTCCTAAACAAGCGTGTAACCCCTGGTTCACGGGAAAGTTATAAGAAAAACAGTCTGAAGCAAACAACATTACTCTAAATTAGAGTTTTTAATCCTTATTAATTTCGAGATGTTTTGTTCACTGTAAACCTCTTGTTTAACACTGATGTTAATAATCATGGAGCTTAATATAATCATATATATATATCTGCGAAATAATAAAGCTAAAATCTTCTCACATGTATATAATATTTCACTACTCTTTGTGTAATACTCGCTGAAGTGTGACCAAAAATAGCGCTTTGTTTACGTGGATTAAATTATCGGGTGCTTAACTTATAAGACCGTTGTACTTATAGTGGAAAATGATTGTCGATCATCGACTGCCTAAATTGATGGCTGTCCTAGAGTCAACATCCCTACTTCATTTTTCAGAAAATCTAAATAACAAATGTTAATTTAGGCGATCACAATAATCCGAAGCTTTACGGAAATAGCCGAACAATTTTCATTGATTAAAATGATATTAATTCGCGTAGCAAAGTTATTTGAATATATCACCGGTAATTTGCAGAAATGTTAAAGAATTATACAATATTAGAAATCTTCGAACAATCGGGAACTATTTTCTTGAGAAGGTTTAAAAATTAATGCGCCTGTCATTTGACAATCTTTACGCATTGATCTCTTCTTAATTTTATGGCGTTAGAAGACTTATAAAGGGAACTAACCGCTTCGAGGAGTTCGTGACGGACTACTTGCGGATTTTGCAAATAAGCATATCAGGGTCTGAAATTTCGCTACCATTATTTGTTTGGTCTGACGACCCAAACAAATAAAGATCGGACATTATCATGTTCGAAGAAATGTTAACGCATGCTTTAACTAGATTTCAACGTTGTTATGATTTTGCAGGTCATATTAGATCGACATAGATTAATCCACAATGCTTTAAGAACAACGGTGTCGAAAACCTTTGCATAATCTATAAAACACAAAATAATTTAGATTTGTTAAGTAAAAAATATGTGAATAAATGTATGTAATAAAAATATACAATCACTTGTACTATGTCTATCTCTAAAGCCAAATTGTGAATCGTTAAATACATCATTAGATTCGCACCATTTGTCCATTCCATTTCCATGCCTTACTTTATTTTTTTAATTTATTGATCTACTCCCAAAATTGACGCGGGTTACGTTTACTTAAATTACATATTTTTCCAGAATTGCAAAAAACCTGGTTCAATTTTCATCAGACGGGACAGCTTTAAAAGCTTATTTGTCACAATAATAAGATTTTTAGCATGTTAACATGTAGAATTAAACCAGAGAGATTTCTTTTGGACATTATTTTTCGGTTTAATGCTTAATGTTTGACCATGCATTTGAAAAATTATATCAAAAATAACTTTAGATCGAGCATCAATAGACGAATTTACATCGCATTCCGCAGCCTCAAGTTTATGTATAATATTTTAAAAATGTGTTTATTTACCTCAAGGGTATTATTCAATAAATGATTTTTATCTACCCATAAGTAAATACATCATACTGATACAAAAACATGTTATCCCATTGCATTCCGAATTCAATCGGACAAAGATCTGAAAAAAGATAATGTACTTTTATCTTAGATTGATCAAACCCAAATATGACATTTACTTCACAACTTACGGAACTTTTTACACGAGTTGCTTTCCTTGTTTAAGACGACAGCTAATGTTTATCAATTAAATTCAAATATTTTGTTTTTGATGTCACTTGAGAGCGTGTTTATAATTATTCAATACTAGTTATACAATTAATAGAAAAAATGACAAAATAAAGAAACAATTTTTTATAAAAACAATAAAAAAATGAAAATGAGGCATGTCAGCATTTTTGAAGAAATGAAGTTAAGACATGACTGTATTAGTTAAGAAATGCAATTACGACATGTTTGCATCCGTTAAAAAAGGCACTCGAGGCATGGCTGCATTGGTAATGAAATAAAATTCAGACTTTACTGCAATCGTTAAAATACGATAAAAGCATGACAACATCTGTTAAGAAATGCAATTGAGTCATGTCTGCATTGGTCATGAAATGTAATTTAGGCATGACTGTATTAGTTAGGAAATACAATTTAGGCATGATTTATTAGGTAAGAAATACAATTAATACACAAATTTATATCGATTGTGCACAGGCGTCTTGTACACAGTCATCCGGAACGAGACTACTTGTTGGAGCAATAGATTTTGGAACGACCTTCTCCGGCTGGGCCTTTTCTTTCAAACACGAATACGATTTGGACCCAACAAAAGCAAATATAAAGCACTGGCTGCCAAGCTCAGGGAATTTAGTGACGGAAAAAACACCGACGTGTGTATTGGTAAATCCCGATGGTAAAACATTGAAAGCGTTCGGGTACGATGCCGAAAACGAATATCGAGAATTACTTGATGAGGAAGAAGAAAACAATTACTACTTCTTTAAACGATTCAAAATGAAACTCTATTCTAAGATTGGCAATGTAAGTTATAATATACCTTCATCGCATTTACTTAAAATTATCTGCTTTATAATATGTTACTTTCCAGTATTGTTATATGTTGTTGTGGATTATTTCTGCTGATGAAATCAAGATTAAATACGGCTTATGCGTTTGCTTGTTGTTGTTCAAAATATTTCTGTTTAAATTATCCACAAACCAAACTAAGTTTATTGATTTTTGTTTTCATTGCTAGAAAGAACTCTCCTTTCAAGAAGACTGGAGTTGTCCATTGCTTCATCTCAGTATTGTTATGAATGTCGGGCACTTTAAATATTGTTGCTACAAATACTTCCAGTATTGAAGTTTGAACTTTTATACTCACAACAACTAGTCAAAGTGCTGTGAGGCTTCTGACAAACACCATCTCATTGCTGTTACTTTTTTCGTGTCCTTTAGGATAATCAATTCCAATACTTATACGATTGAATAATAAAAATGAAGGTGCGATAAAGATGATTCACTGTTCATTATCTGAAAAAAATAAAACAAACTCTTTATTTGGACTGCAAATATTTACATATTTCTTTAACTATTTAACCCTGATTTGATGTCGCTTAAAACAATTATTATAATTTATGTTTTTTTTGTCTCATTGTTAAGTAAAAGCGAGTACATTAAGTTTTTAAAACGCTTAACATTTTACGTGTTGTTTCGAGGGCTTTAGATTTTACAAACAAAAGATATTGTACAAATGTAGTTGAAAAGTTAGGTCAATATATCTAAATACAAGTTATATTAAAGAGTTTAGACATACAAAAATGTAGCTCTATATTTAATCTTGTGCACACATACGGATTGTTTGGAAATCATCATTATACAGTTACATGTTTTTTGCTAGGACTTAAAACGAGACATGGCAATCGAAGACGAATCTGGTAGACCACTTTTAGCAGCTGATGTCTTTGGAATGTCAATCAAGTTCTTGGTAGACGATATGCTGAAAAATGCTGGCAAGGGAATACATGGCATAATCAGACCCTCTGAAATTCACTTAGTTGTGACAGTTCCCGCAATATGGTCCGATGCTGCAAAACAATTCATGGGCGAGGCTGCTGAAAAAGTGAGCACAAGATAATTGTAAACTGAATATTGAATGAATTTTCAACATGTGTATGCCACTTTCGCTATTTCTTTCCTTCTCGATTTCCCTTATATTGGAGCGTTTTTAAAAACGCATTTTACCTTACAAATGCTATTTATTTCTATTTCTCTGAATATTGTTTTGTTGTCCTGTTCCAAACAATTTACTCATTTTGTCAATTGCCGGAATGATATTTGGCTTTTGTTCCCATGTTGCAATTAGTATAGTTATAGTGATTCAGTATTTTATATGGATGTCAAAATACAATTGTGTGTACATTTTGCTATTTTCATGATAAACAGTTTCAAATGCTTGGTGATAAGCAATAGCCATGCTCTTAAACTATTGATAAAATGTTACAAAACTCATGTTTCCCTTTTCTTAGGAAGAAAAATATCTGAGGCTTTATATGTCTTTAAGAATTTTACGCTTCTAAGTCAAAACGATGATCTGTTATTTCAATAGTTTTTATAATTTTCAAATCTAATATCTAAATATTATGTCACCTTAGCAGATAATACTTAATTATATTAATAATCATTTGTAGGCTGGTATCCTTAAAGATCGATTAACAATTGCACTGGAGCCTGAAGTAGCTTCGCTTTATTGTAGACACATACATATTCACAAACCTGATGATATATCCATGTCCAAGTTACCGAAGGGCACCAAGTACATTGTCGTTGATGCAGGAGGTAAAGTAATAAAATATGATAATATAAATAAATCTTCATCCTGATCTTATCCATTTATTCAAATCAAAAGGGTAACATATTTTGCACGAATAAACATTTAACTCAATTTTCTTTTTATGTCAGAATAATCATATTATACAAAATTATTGACAACTGCGATGGTACCTCTGGATAGTTTAAGTTAAATGTTTATTTTCAATGTGTACCGTTTTATTGAAAAATATTGCTGTTCGAAGCCTAACTTATTGCTGTTGATTTTGTACGTTTTATGGCGCACCAACATAATTTATGTCATATGGCGCCGGAACAAGAATGAATTTTGGGTAACCTCGGATGTTACAAACTTTCAGCTACAACAGAGATCAAAACTGCCTTACCTGTTGGAGCTAAGAAATATTCCAATAATTTGAACCCATTTAGTCGCCTCTTACGATCACGCAGACATAAACGGTGACTACTTTTCTGATGCCTTAACCCTTTAAAGCAATCCTTCAGCCACAAGAGGCGTCCTAAACATGAAAGCGTATTAACGTAGAAATTTATTTCTAAATAATAATTCCTTTCTGGAAACCGCCTAAATGCAATGCTCAAACTTAATGTTGACGAGCATCTAAATGTTTAAGGTTTAACTGAATCACATACTTGTAAGTAAAATATATGTATTTAAATGGGCATAGAATCAAGGTGTCTATAATAACCATAATAAAATCGCGGAAAAATATATGTAAACACATACAAGATAGTTGAAAGATTCTTATTTCTTAAATATATCACGTTTGTGTATGATTATTTTGTAGGAGGAACAATAGACATAACAGTACACGAGGCTGGAAGTGACAATACACTCAGGGAAGTTAAAGCTGCAAGTGGTGGCGATTGGGGAGGTATAATGGTTGACAAAGAATTCGAAAATTTGCTTACACGTATGGTAGGACAAAATGTATTTGAACAGTTTATGCTAGAGGAAAAGGAGGATTGGCTTGATATGCAAAGGGAATTTGAGTCAAAGAAACGAGAGCCAAATATGGACAATGTAGGTAAAATAGGGATTCGATTGCCGGTTTCCCTGACTGATCTTTACAAGAAACACTCCCAAAATGACATAAGTACTATTTTAGCATCGTCTCCGTATGCAGGTCTGATTGTGCTTAAAAGGGATAAGATGAAGATTTCTAACAAGGTCTTTGTTGATCTTTTTGAAAGTTCGGTAACAAAAATAATTGATCATCTAAAGTCGATGCTGTCCGATAGCTCACTTAAAGAAGTAAGAGTTTTAATCATGGTCGGTGGTTATTCGGAATCGCAAGTATTACATCGTGCAATTACAGAAACATTTCCCGGAATTCAAGTCGTAAGACCTATTGGCGCTTCATCGGTCGTATTGAGAGGTGCCCTAATCTATGGGCACAACCCTTTTTCAATAAGCGAAAGAATTCTAAAATATACGTATGGCACTAACTACACACCGCTTTTTATTGAGGGATTTCATCCCGAAAGTAAACGTTTCACATCAAAGGATGGACAAATAAGATGTCGGAATGCCTTTAACAAATTTGTAACTACTGGACAGACAGTAAAGCCGGGTGAAACCCAAGTAACAGATACCTATTTTACTCCTTCAAGAAGACAGAAGGCTATGCAGTTTGAAATATATGCTTCAGTGAATAAAGATCCTGCTTACACAGATGATGACGGATGCTTTGAGATAGGTAGACTAAAAATAGAGTTTGATAATGAACTTATCAGGAGTGATAGAAGAGATAGGAAAGTAGCACTATCTATGCTATTCGGGGAGACAGAAGTCATCGTAGAAGTTGAAGATAAATGTACTGGAAAGAAGGAAATAACTACAATTGATTTTCTTTAGTTATATAGTTAAGCGTTTTAAAATTATCAATTTGAAAGTAACTTGAAACTGGACAGACTTTAGGGATTCTTATTTTCTGACTTTAGGGGTTCTTATTTTCTCTTTTTTTGTCTTAGATTAATTTCATTGATATACGTTTTTGCGGCGGACGCGCACTCATGCGCGTTCCGAGTTATGTCATCTACACATGTGATTTCCACGGCTATATAATCTAAAGAGTGTCTCCAAACAGGGACGTATATCAACCACGGTTGTGGCCTTTATAGACTCTGTCAATAACACATAAATCTAACCTCATTTGACGCCATTAAAGTGACACCATCTACTCAGGTTTTATCATCAACAATTGCTCATGCATTTGAGCTTAAATATCGTGCGACAGAGAATAAATTTATTTTTGATTGCACGAATTCAAGAAATCACGGTGAAGCGGGGCCGCACAAAAAATGAAAATTTTGAGAAAAGTAAAAAAAATTTTAAAGGGGACATTTACGGGTTTAAGGGATATTTTGGGCCAAATTGGCCAAAAAAAAGGTTTTGGGGAAATAGGCGGGGTTTCATAAAACCAAAAATTTAAAGGGTTTTTGGTTTTAGTTACCAAAACATTAGAAGGGGACTGTAAATAACATTTTAATTCTAAAATATAAATATAAAACTTTATTGCTTAGGGGGCAAGCAAATAATTTTTTTTTCTGACTGAAAAATAAAACCAAGAACCAAAAAAAAGCATTAAATTTGGGAAATTCCTTAGAGGAAAGTTTGGGGGCAAAAAAATAAAACCCCCCGGGGTTATATGATTTAAAATTTTAATCCCATGGTTAAAATCCGAAAAAGCTGGCACCCAAAAGTAAAAAGAAACCATTTCCCCTTTAAATTTTTTTTAGTTATTGCCCTTTGTTATTTTTCAATTTAATTTTTGTTCAGAGCATAACTAAAAAAGCCTTTGAGATATCAACATGAAGCTTCATAGGTGGATAGATCTCACTCAGAAGGTGTTCAGTGCTCAACCCTTCATAATTTTTGAGTTATTGTTCTTTGTTATTTTTCATACTTAATTTTTCACCTGAGTGGAGAATAACTCAAAAAGTCTTTGAGATGTCAACATGAAACTTTATAGGTGGATAGATCTTATTGAGGAGGAATGATGTGCGCAAAAGTGATAACCCTACCCCGCATAGCTTCTGAGTTATTGGCCTTTGTTAATTTTCATACTTATTTTTTTCATGAGCGGAGCATAACTCAAAAAGTCTTTGAGATGTCAACATGAAACTTCATAGGTGGATATATCTTATTGAGAAGAAATTTTGTGCACAATAATGATAACTCTACCTTTTATAAATTTTGAGTTATTGTCCTTTTTTATTTTTCATACTTTTTCTTACGGAGCTATTCTCAAAAGTATTACAGGTATCAACTTGAAACTTCATAGATGGATAGATCTCATTGATGAGGTTTGCAGAGCGCAAGAATGTTTATGCTGCCGTGCATAATTTTTCAGTTATTGCCTTTCTTATTTTTCAGTCTTATTTGTTATCTAGACAGTAACTCATTACATATTTACTATATAAGGTAATCACTCGAAACTCAAAATATAACTTAGTCTCCGTCTGTCCGTCCTTTCGTCCGTCTATTCGTCTGTCCGTCCCTCTGTCCGTTCTTCCGTCCCACATTTTTGTCCGGAGCGTAACTAAAAAGGCCTTTAAGATATCAAAATGAAACTTCATAGGTGGGTATATCTCACTAAGGAGGTGTGGAGTGCACAAAGGGATACCTATACACACCTCATAATTTTTATGTTATTGCCCTTTGCTATTTTTGAAACTTCCTTCTACCCAAAAAGTCTTGAGGTGTCAACATGAAACTTCATAGGTGGATTTATCTAATTGAGGAGAAATGCTGTGCACAAGAATGATAACTCTACACTTTATAATTTTTGAATTATTGTCCTTTGTTATTTTTCATACTTTTTGTCCGGAGCTTATCTCAAAAACTGTGAAAGCTATCAACTTGAAACTTCATAGGTAGTTAGATTTTATTAAGGAAAAGTGCAGCACACCAGAATGAAAACCTATCCTGCATTATTTTTTCAGTTATTGCCCTTAAAATGTTATTTTCTGCCATCAAAATTCACAAAGATTTCAAATCTGTAATCACAACATCCAGAAGTTGTCATTGCCAAAGGGCTTCTTTAAATTGAATTTTTCTGCTCTACTATATATACATTCTTCAAATGAGCAAACACATTCGGCGGAGCATGGCCATGTTAACATGGCTCTTGTTAAATATCAAACATGTAAATAATTTTCAGCAAAAAAATCACTGTGTATCATAGTATGTTATAGCAAAAATAAGTTGATTGATAGTTTAATTATCATTTCTTTGAGTAATAAGTAATGCTGTATTTCAATATCCCAATATTTGTTTTCAGTATCATTATCATTCCAGGTTGGTTTTGTCTTTAAACACTTTTCGCAGAGACTTGATAACATCTTTCTTGTCCCTTAAAAACATGTAAAAGTTCTCGACGTTTCAGTTTTGCTATTGCGGGTCCACGAATGTTAAAGGAGCTACACCGTTCAATGACATGCTCAGATAGCTTATGACTAACTTACTTTTCTGAATAGTACTTGGCCAAATTATCAGCCATGATTAATTCCTTCGCATTGATGAACGGGTCCTTGCTGTCACATTGATGAACATTTTTTTCTCATGCATTTTTCAAATTCCCGTACAAATAAATAGAAGTTAAAACTAGGGATTTTAACTTCACCACGATTGATTGCTGTTGTCCACCCTGCATATTTCCTTATGAATGTCTTTTCCGAGTCTTTAGAGTTTTGATTGGACTATGAATGGCCTCTGATTCATTTCCATGCGTCTTTTTCTTTAACTGATATAATATGTACCCACTGATATTTAGAAGCACCGATTACTCTGTTATAATTAAAGGTGTTGCATTTCCTGATGCATCAGATGTTTTGTACATAAATGCCTATTTGCTATCAAATCTGTGAGAAGCTGCCTATGTAAAACTGCAATTAACTGTCTTGTTGGGACTGAACCTACAGCAATTCGACATACAATGTACTTTCGATATTATATCAATACAATATGCTTGATACACGAGTTTATGAAATTTGTGTAGGAGTGATTCGTTGTACTCGAACTCGGAGGGTCTGTGAAAATTTGTTCGAGAGATCGGTAGTTCGAGCCAACCGAGGCTGAACTATTATTACATGGAACACATATCTAAAGGTTTTCCAGCTTACATAGGACAAACAATAAATACGTCAATATAATTGTTGTTAGAACATCTGTTTGTCGAATACGTCATATTAAGAATTATTATCCTATTGAAAACAATATTAACGGTGCACTGTGTTAATCTATATTTATGCATATTGTAATTGGTTGAGTTCGATTGGGCGATCATTATCCAAACTGTGAACAATGTCAAAATATATTTATATGTCTATTATGGAATTAATTTTATTTTAAACAATGAATTAATTAAATATAAAAAATAACATTTTACAGCAGCATATATTTGTAGTCATTTACTAAAATAAACACGTACAAGTATCATTCTATAAATAGATTACACTGACAATTCACGATACATGAACCACGGTTGTAATTAAAGCCGTCCGGGTAAACGTCATTTATTTATTGACTTTTGCGCATTTCAGGAGTTGTTTTCTTTTTATCGTTACTAAAGACGGCAAATATACAATTTTATCATAACAAACAAATCGGTTACAACACCTTTTATTTTGTATCAATTAACCTTAATTGCCTTTGTCACGATCACGAGGTGTTAAAAACATGTGTCACCGACTGTCAATTATTTAGAACATGTCGACCTGCAACTTTTGTTGTCTGTTTGTGTTCGACCGAAAAGGTGTGATTTACACTATATTTCTGCCGAAGGGACCAGAGATCATGTTCGAGAGTTCGAGCGATGGGTGTTCGAGCGATCCGAGGTAGAACAATATATATTATAAAGGAATTTTGCCGGGACTGGACGATGAGTTCGAGCGAAAGGAGGTATTCGAGCGATCCGAGTTCGAGCGAACGAAGTTTAACTGTAGTTACTTTCACTTGAAGGTGCCGATTTGAAAACCACATGGTACATAGGTTCTAGAAGTCTGGCTAGTTGATTCTAAACATCATCATTTTCTTTAATTTTTGTTGCTATGTCTATTATGTTGTGTCAATTAGCTAAGCGTTTCATGTTACGAAACGTGCTTTACTAGCATTTACCAGAGGCTGAGGGAAAACACATGAGCTAATACTGAAATGTATTTTAGAATGTAAATAATTAAAGGTTCTGTACATTATCACAGATTATTGATAGTTTCCTCTAGCTGACAAATTGTTTCCAAGACTTTATTCATTTTTAGGTATACTCTTTACGAAGATAAGGATAAATTATTTAAATACAACATCTCTATCTTGTAATTGCTGTGCAGACATTTCAATGTAGCTCATTATTTAAGCTTTAATAGGTGTCATAATGAAATTTGAAATCTTGATAACCATGTCAATGCCCATTGTAAGATGAACATTTGAAACCCCTGGGGTTTTTGTTTTTGGTTTTAAGCTTTAGCAGTTTCTGTTCCTGGCAAAATGCTGAACTGTGTTAATGATATGATTTTGCTTATTAGAGGAAAACAGATGCAAGACTTAAAGTAAAATACAAGTTAAAAAAATGTTTCAAATTAAATTTCAAAATGGATGACACCAGGTGTCTGCTTTTGTTTTACCATTTAATAAGATTGTATGAAATTGTATATTTTGTTATGATACTGGTTAAATTGTTTTTGTTACTGCGTTCCTGTTTTTATGTATGTCAAAAATGTTTCAAAATTACCAGTTATGTAAATTGATATCAAATAGATGTAAATATTTAAATTTCTTGCTCTTTTATTATTATAAAATACCATACATAGCTATTTGAGTGTATCATGACAAAGTGACAGTACATGCTACGTCAACTTCATATATCAACTAATACAGTACTGGGAATCAGTAATTAATAAATTTGTGTTCTACTATTTGAAAAATTGACTATTTAAATAATTTCCAATTTCTGTAAACATTGTTGGCGAGTGAATGCAGAGGTAAAGTAAACCCTGGCATAATATATTTACATAAGTAAATCCAAATAACATATTTTCGCATAGTCTTACCTTAGACATTTTGCTTCCAATGCTTTGATTGAAGATAACCATGCAATTCAGAAACTGAAGCGTAAGACTTGTCATACTCATCACACTGATACAATTTTTCGATATCTTTGTATCACTTATCTTCTCCTTATTCTTACAGCATTTAGATTTATGTTCCTGTTCTACCTCAAAATAGCTATTACTAAAATTATATTCACTTTCTATTAAATCCCCTAAAACTGCTTCAAGATCCTAACTATCTGAGAAATTAAAGATATTATCTTAACTTGTTGAACAACTTAAAGGTCGTATATGATATACTAAATAATACAAACTAAAAGCGAGGTCAAAAAAACATTTATTTCTCTCATTCCATTCTAAAGAAGGACGTGTTTGGATTTAAATTGGATAACCAGTTTCAGACAGTACCGACTGATAGAAAAAGGGTGCAAACAATCACAATGGAACAAATAAAATGATGCACATAAATAATCATAAATAATCATGATTAAACCAATTACTGAATCTGCAGCAAACATTAATTACGTCAGTATCGTATTTTTCTCTATAAAGATGAATAGGTGTTTGAAAAGGTTCTGATTGAATAGTTGAGGATATACTTGAATGAAATAAGAATCTAATTCAAAATTTTCTTTCATCTTTATTGCAATACTTTTATAACAAAAAGATAATGTTTAGGCCATATTTTTGAAACGAAAATTTTAAGAATAGTATTTTTCTTGTGCGGTTTGAATATTCTTTTTATCAAACTTTTAATTTATTTTAAAAATAAATGGAAACTTATATTTTAAAACAATGGTCAAATAAAAAATATAAAGCGCTAAACATGTTAAGTATAGGGTAAAAGTTAAAATAAATTGAATCTAAAAAATATTTTACAATATTTTATCCGTATTTATTTTTAATAATTCATTAATAAATTTATTAATAAAATTATTTTTAATGCGCAAACGAAATTAAAAAAAATTTATAAAAACTATATAACTACATTATATACAAACGCTTTATTGGCGTCCGCGCCGAAGCGCGGCGCCCCTTATGGAATGAAATCAGATTTTGTGAAAGGGCGACAGCAACTTGTCGAGCCTTTTAGTCGGTCATATCGCAATGCAAACATTTTCAAATGAATCGCGCTCTTCGGGGTATTTTTATTTATCATTTTGTAGTACACAGTGGGTCATTATGGTATGTTATTGTTGTACATGTATCTGAAAGCTTTTAATAGAATGATGAGTTGATGACCTAAATATTCCGAAAAATCTATTTATAGAGGAATGTACTACTATCGGAAATTCCCGGTCTCTCCTGGTCTATTTTGACCGGGATTTGCTAGTGACCGGCGAATAGTACCACACGTTTATTGTCCGGTCTCTCCCGGTTTTGGAGTAGAGGTTTTGGAGTAGATGTTTGATATCGTTACAGAACAGAACAAATATTTTACAGATAAATAAGCTTTTTTTCAAAATGAACGTTTGTCACTTAGTTTGGTTACAATAATTAAAAAACACAGATCAACAAATTTATTGATTATTATTATACATAAACATACAATTCGAAAAACAATAACATGTTTTATTTTATCTATATGAGATAAAAAACAATAAATATGTACAATAATTGAGATAAAAGGTACATTTTTATGGTATTAATATGACACTACCAACTTTGAAACATTTTATTTAGTTTGTTATTCGTCTTTAGTAAAGATGCCGAGGAATTATTCAAAGTTACAAATTAGATTTTATGAATTATTCAATTGATTGATAATTTAAAGAATGATTAAGAAAAATACAAATGTACATGTTTATGGTTTAAGAATAGACAATATTATATATTGAAATATTAACCATAATTTACTGAGTTTTTCCAGTTAAATTTTGACTTATAATCGTCAGTCAATATGACAATTGAATTCTTAAAATAGTAGTAAACGTAATAACTCAGTATCAAAATAGTACACATAACACAAAAAAGAAAAGAAAACAATATTCATAAAATCTGTTATTTTCTTTTAAAATAAATATTACAATTGCAATTACAATTACAAATGGTAATATAACCAGTGTCATTTTGTTATTAAGTGTGAACAGATACCTTAAGAGGGGGTCTTCACTAATAGCGATAACATAATAAAGGACAATTACACAAGTGTGGTATTGATCATGCGTTACACATATGGATTATAAATGATTGTATACATGTATATCCGTTGCTATTAATAACCACGATCATAAAGAAATAACAAGTAATATTCTAATCTCTAGCATGCCAATAAAAGTTAATAATGAACAATGTCTTTCGTCCGTCCATTCATAAGTGATAGGCCTATACAATTCTGGTAAAAACCAATCAACCATTGAAAAGTTTATAAGAATATCTTGTCATCATAAATCTACTAGTTCATCTTCACCTGCTGCATTTCTTGCTTGGACGCCCTTTGATGCTTTGCATCAATACTTTACTTGTATGAATATTGTTTCACCATTGTCAGCCAAAACATGACTAAACAATAATATCTTGTTGCTATGTAAAAAGATTTTTGTTTGCAGCCTCGATTTGGCCGGTATTAAAAGTTGCGTTTTTAACTCGTTACAATTTTGCAAATATTTCAAGCTATGTAAATAATAATTACACAGTTTAAGAGATTAAATTTTAAGCAATCTTTTGGTAATTCGGACCATAAATGATAAAAATACGTTTGTTGGAAGAGGTGAACATTATTTTTACTTTAAAAAAAAGGACAGAAAATAACATGTTTACGGTAATTTAAATTACCGAGGTCAAATATCATCTCGCTTAACACCGCTACTTAAAACAGTAATATAAGCAAAAGATAATTAAGAAATATACTCAGAAATAAATTGTACATCATATTTTGTGCTATTTTATTTTATTTAATACTGGTGGTATTCATTTAAAATTTACACAAATAACATCAATTTTTACAAGAAAACAGAAAATATTCACATAAACCTAATACTAAGTCTTGGGATCATAATTAGCGGTCTGTACCAAAGCCCCATTAAACTCCGGCATAGATCTTTTACTACCCTTCCTGCATTATGCAACATGATTGATGTTTGGTCCTTTTTACAACATTTATGCAATCCCCTTATTATGTCCGTCGCATCCAGTGCAAAAGCACTTTGATTTACTTAGTGTACTTAGGTAAAAATTAAAACCGTTTTAGAGTGTGACCAAAACTGTTTTATTTTATTTCAATTTGCATAACATATCTATAAGTTTTACATCGCAAGACAAGGATAGTTTGATAATAAGCTTATAAAATTGTGTTGATTGTAAAGAAAAAACATTCAAGTAAAATAGTACATTTTTGATGCCGATATTTTAAGTTACGGCGACATTTTGTCTCATTATTAATCTTATTTTACATTAGATGTATTTTTAGCCGTGTGGAGGCCTTAAAAAGTCACCCCGTTCATTCAATCAATAACGTTAAAATTCCGATACTTGAAGGTCGTTCAAAACGGCAATGTTGTGTTTGTGGTAGTTTAAGTTCTTTGTATTTGATCTTTTTCTAGTTGTGTGCACAGGTGTTCGGCGCGTGGCCATGACTTACACTATTCCCCCATTTCTCCTCTACTTGTTACCTTTACCTACGATTCAAAGTTTTCTGACTTCTGAGCAAATTTATACGATAAAGCGGAGCAAATCGAATACAATTTTATACATTTTGTGAAAATGGACTGGAAAAAAAACTGTTTGAAAATTGGTTAAATTTGTTAAAACAATGAATAAAGGAATGTATTTGTTTGTTGTGAATTATTTCCGAATTTAAGTGTGACGAACGTAATTGTTATTTGTAAGAACGCTTTGAATCGCACATTAATGATAAGTGGTCAGTTACATTTTATTAAAGAAACACTTATTATCCAACATCAATGGCAGTAACATTTAGATAAGTAACATTTCTTCAGGAGATTACTTGTTCAAGTTTTCAGCACGAATAGACGTGCGCCCTAAACGAGAAAACAATGGGCGGAACTAAATAAAATGGAATTTTAAAAGGGGATCAGAGGTACTGTCTGCATGTCACAGATAAGACGTCAAAAGACAATGTTTAAAAGCAGGCAACATATCATAAGGGTGATTCAACATTATTCAAGTAGGAATATTGGAACAACCGAAATCGAAGAGCCAAATAGTTGAAACTAAAAAATATAATGTCGTGTTGAACGATCTTTAAGGATATATAACATCTCTGATTGAATGTACGAGGCGACTGTACAAACCGTGGTGATTTTGTATTACTTAACTCTGCGTGTACCGTGTATCAATGTTATCTTCATTTTCATGTAAAAAATTTAATCAGTGCGTGGATTTTTCACAATTTTAATCCTGTGATCAATAAACTTGCCGATAAAACCCGTCTGTTTTTATTTATTGATTACTTCCTGTTGGTAAATTCGTTGACATTCAGAGTCGAAACGTTGTATATTTTTCAAATAAAATAATTACATTTTTAAATTGAAACTGGAGTCGATTTCTATATTCAAACTTACATTAACATTCAGTAGGAAGAAACGACAGCTATGGTATGTTACCTTTTTTAAAATCATTTTTAAACATTTTTCAGATTATACATAATACATTATTTCTTAAAACTTAAAAAGTGGATTGGTATACAATAGACACATTTACCATAAGTATTTCAAATATTAATAAAAACAAAAAAAAATGCATCATCCGGATATTCTTAAGAAATATTGCTTGAAAAACGTTCTATGTGATTTATGTAGCATTTTGTTATAGAACTATAAAATTATAGGTAATATCGGATTATTATCTCACACTTGCTACCAGCATCCATATATGAGCCGCGTTATGACAAAACCAAAATAGTGCGTTTGCGACTAGCATGGATCCAGACCAGCCTGCGCAACCGCGAAGTCTGATCAGGATCCATGCTGTTCGCTATCAGTTTTTCTACTTGTAATAGGGATGGTAAGCGAACAGCATGGATCCTGATCAGACTGCGCGGATGCGCAGGCTGGTCTGGATCCATGCTGGTCGCAAACGCACTATGTTGGTTTTGTCGTGACGCGGCTCAATTATAATTCTTTCGTGCATTGTTGTAAATTCTAATTCTTAGAACTATAAAACAAGAGGGCCATGATGGCCCTAGATCGCTCACCTGACCCATCAAACTCATCCAAACAATTACCCAGACAAGCATTCTGACCAAGTCTCATGACAGGTGAGTGAAAAATGTGACCACTACAGTGTTAACAAGGATTATCCATATTTGAGCAGTGTGAACTAGTTTTTTACCCAGGTGACCCATATTCAAACTTGACATAGAAATCATCAAAACAAACTTTCAGACCAATTTCCAGGATACTTGAATCAAAACAGTAGCAACTAGAGTGTAACTAAGATTTTTCCATTTTTAGCTCCGGTGACCTAGTTTCACATGCGATTTCGAACTCATCCGAGCAATTACCTAGACAAGCATCCTGACCAAGTTTGATGATAATTGAGTCGAAAATGTGACCACTAGAATGTTAACAAGGCTTTTCCATATTTGGGCGGTGTGACCTAGTTTTTCATCCAAGATTACCCATATTCGAACTTGACTTAGAAATCATCAAAACAAACTTTCAGACCAATTTACAGGATATTTGAATCACAACAGTAGCCACTAGAATGTTTACAAGATTGTTCTATTTTTAGCTCCTGTGACCTAGTTTTTCATCCGAGATAACAATGTTCGATTTAATCCCAGCAATGACCTAGACACGTTTCCTGACCCAGTTTGATGACAATTGAGTCAAAATTGTGACCACTAGAGTGTTGTCAAGGTTTTTCTATTTTTAGCTCCTGTGACCTAGTTTTTCATCCGAGATGACCAATGTTCAAACTCATCCGAGCAAGTACGTAGACAAGCATCCTGATCAAGTTTGATGACACTTTTGTCAAAAATGTGACCGCTAGAGTGTTAACAAGGTTTTTCTATTTTTAGCTCTGGTGACCTACTTCTTCATCCGAGATGATCCATGTTCGAACTCGTCCTAGCTATCACATAGACAAGCATCCTGACCAAGTTTGATGATGATTGAGGCAAAAATGTGACCGCTAGTGTTAATAAGGTTTTTCTATTTTTAGCTCCGGTGACCTAGTTTTTCATCAAGGATGACCCATGTTCAAACTCATCCAAGCTATCACCTAGACAAGCATCTTGACCAAGTTTGATGATGATTGATGCAAAAATGTGACCGCTAGAGTGTTAACAATGTTTTTTCTATTTTTAGCTCCGGTGACCTACTTTTTCATCCGAGATGACCCATGTTCGAACTCATCCGAGCTATCACCTAGGCAAGCATCCTGACCAAGTTTGATGATGATTTAGACAAAATGTGACCGCTAGAGTGTTAACAAGGTTTTTCTATTTTTAGCTCTTGTGACCTAGTTTTTCATCCAAGATGACCCATGTTCAAACTCATCCGAGATTTTATCTAGATAAGCATCCTGACTAAGTTTGATGATGACTGAGGCAAAAATGTGACCGCTGGAGTGTTAACAAGGTTTTTCTATTTTTAGCTCCTGTGACCTAGTTTTTCATTCGAGATGACCCATGTTCGAACTCATCCGAGCTATCACATAGATAAGCATCCTGACCAAGTTTGATGGTGATTGAGGCAAAAATGTGACCGCTAGTGTGTTAACAAGGTTTTTCTATTTTTAGCTCCGGTGACCTACTTTTTCATCCAAGATGACCCATGTTCGAATTCATCCGAGCTATCACCTAGACAAACATCCTGACCAGGTTTGATGATGATTGAGGCAAATTTGTGACCTCTAGAGTGTTAACAAGGTTTTTCTTTTTCTAGCTCTTGTGACCTAGTTTTTCATCAGAGATAACCCATGTTCGAACTCATCCGAGCTATCAATTAGATAGCAATTAGCATCCTGACTAAGTTTGATGATGATTGACGCAAAAATGTGACCGCTGGAGTGTAAACAAAGTTTTTCTATTTTTAGCTCCTGTGACCTAGTTTTTCATCCGAGATGACCCATGCTCGAACTCATCCGAGCTATCACATAGACAAGCATTCTGACAAAGTTTGATGATGATTGTGGCAAAAATGTGACCACTAGAGTGTTAACAACGTTTTTCTTTTTTTAGCTCCGGTGACCTACTTTTTCATCCGAGATAAGCCATGTTCGAACTTTTCCGAGCTATCACCTAGACAAACATCCTGACCAGGTTTGATGATGATTAAGGCAAAATTGTGACCTCTAGAGCGTTAACAAGGTTTTTCTATTTTTAGCTCCGGTGACCTAGTTTTTCATCCGAGATGACCCATGTTCTAACTCATCTGAGCTATCACCTAGACAAGCATCCTGACCAAGTTTGATGATGATTGATGCAAAAATGTGACCGCTAGAGTGTTAACAAGGTTTTTCTATTTTTAGCTCCGGTGACCTACTTTTTACAGCTATCAACTAGATAAGCATCCTGACCAAGTTTGATGATGGCAAAAATGCAACTGCTAGAGTGTTGACAACTAAATGTGAACGGACGACGGACAATCATCGATCCTAAAAGCTCACCCTGAGCATGCTCAGGTGAGCTAAAAATCAAAAATTAATCTTGACATCCTTTCGTCAATTCTTAGCTGCGAAGTATCGTTGATGTTAAAAAAGAAAAACAACAACAAAGAAAAACAACAACAAACAAAGGGCGTTTCTATACCTTTTATGACAATATAAACAAACAACTAAGATCATTATTCTATTTAATATACCCTTTTAAATACTCTTGAAACTAACATTGCATTTCGAGTATGCAAGTTTGCGTCGGTCATGAAAGCAAACAAAAGGACTATGATAGCCCTGATTGTTAAGGTTTCATTAATATTTTAGCTATGAAGGTATGTACATAGCCTGTTTCATCTCGGGGCATGTACGAATTGTAAGTTTATATGGGTATTAAACTGTGTAATCCTGGCATAGCTTTTCATAGCAGTTTATGTACTTTTTCATTTTACTCAATACTTCATTAACTGTATCCTAAAGGCTTGTTTTTTTATTCAATTTATCTGATTTATTATTTGTTCTTAATAAACGCATGGTTGACAAAACTTCTGATATCATATTGATTATACACAGACGACCACAAAAAGACTTCTAGTCGGAGCAATAGACTTTGGAACAACATTCTCTGGATGGGCCTATTCTTTCAAACATGACTATGATTTGGACCCAACAAAAGCGAATATAAAACATTGGCTGTCGGGATCTGGGAATTTAATGACTGAAAAAACACCGACATGCGCATTGGTAAATCCTGATGGTAAAACACTGAAAGCGTTTGGGTACGATGCCGAAAACGAATATCGAGAATTACTTGATAGAGGAGACGATAAAATGTTTTATTTCTTTAAACGATTCCAAATGAAACTATATTCTAAGATTGGCAAAGTAAGTTGCAATATATGTTAATATTAAAGGTGCTGTCATTTTGTTAACATATGATAAATACATTTTAACTAGATTTTCAACAAAAAATGTTATGGATTTGAGTTGTGAATGTTTGCGAGCGGACAAAACAGCAACAACAACGTAAGCCAGTAACTCAATAATAAGAAAAAGAAAAGAATAATGATTCTAAAACACTGCATTTCATTTGGACAAACTATATATCTACACTTCCACATTTTGAGTTATACTTAGACAAAACTTACGTATGAAGCATAACAAAGACATTTATTCAAACTAAACTGCAGTTTATAAACAATATACGACTATTTTTCACAAAAAATCTATACATATATAAAGCTTTAAGTGAATAGTTTTTATACATATTATGTTATTTATTCATTTTTGATTTATTTCCCAGTGAAAAGATACAAAAATCACGCAAAAGGAAGTTTTTTTTTTTTAGACACTACACTTTTCTTACATGCGACCTAGCTATGTAATTGTTTTAAAGTTATTTCTTTAAATTATGCTTGGAACGAAAAGGTCAGTATTTTACAGCCGAAAAAAGTTGACCCGTACAATATCTCAGTGTTTTTCGTTTTATTTTCTTTTAAAAGTAAAATTACTATCGTTCCTTTGATCTTAAATATGTTTAGGTGACTTCTACATTATAAGTACAATGCGAACAAATTGTCTTGAAAATGCTGTCAAATTACATTTTGGCGTATAACAAAAGAAACATTCTATTGTTTAGAATGAATCTGGTCAGAGTTATTTAAGTTAAGTGCAAATGCATATAAACTATTATTCCAGGGCTTTAAAAGAGACATGACAATCGAAGATGAGCTTGGTAGAAGTCTTTTAGCAGCTGATGTATTTGGCATGTCAATCAAATTCTTGGTAGAGGACATGCTTAAACATGCTTGCAAGGGAATAGAAGGTTTAATCGAATCATTTGAAATCCACTTGGTTATAACAGTTCCTGCATTATGGTCAGATGCCGCGAAGCAATTCATGTATGAAGCTGCCGAACAAGTTAGCACTATTATTTTCACATAAATCATTCTAGCAATTAGTCACATTATCATGCATCTTGTTTTCTGTACTAGTTTCTATGGATTTTATTTTGATTAAATTTTTAATGCTAATGTAACGTGCAAAGTATAAGTTAGATCAAACTAGATACAATGATTTATAAGCGTATTCATGACACATACTACCCGTGCTGTTTTCTGTGCAGCTTTATTATTTCGTCACTTAAGTACTAAAAAACTGAATACAAGATGAAAGGTTTCAAAACTGAAATTAGCTTATCAAGTTGTTGCCATGATTAATCGCACTTTTATTTTTATATTTACACATTACAACTAAGTTTGGACTCTCGAATAAAGATGGCAGTACTACATTAAAGGACAATTCTCCTCCGCCAACTGTTTTACTTTTACTGTTTTCTATGGATTTTATTTTGTGAAAAATTTAATGCTCACATCGAAAATAAAATTTAAGAAACAATCATTAAGAAACTAAGAAACTAGCAAAACAATGAGTTCTCCTTTATTTTCATAATTGAATAACACTACTGAAAATGGTTCCTCTGTAAACGGCGGAATTTAACATTGTGTACAATTAAACTCTGTGCAATCTTAGCAAATAAATAAACGGGACTACATTTGAGCTAATATACATATATATGTACTTTTCTTAGGCAGGTATATGTAAAGAACAATTAACAATAGCTTTGGAACCAGAAGCGACTTCGCTGTATTGCAGACATGTGCATATCAATAAACCTGGTGACATTGGCGATGATTCCATTGGCACGTTACCAAATGGCACAAAATACATAGTTATTAATGCTGGAGGTATTATACATATACTATATTATACGTTCTATTCTATAATTAAAATACTGTTTATATCAAATCAATGCCAAATACCTAGATACAGATGTTTCACTTCAAAAATATATCGTTCAGCGTTTCATGCTGTTTGGTGAATCGGTCACTGCAGTCAGCGGGCGTCGACGGTAGCCTGCAATCTTTAGTACCGTCCATGAACGGGCTCAATCCAACGGAGCCTGCAATATTTATAATTTTGTCGTTTCGGACGTCATTTAGGTTTCTTTTTTCTCGATTTAAAGATATTGTTATTATCCTAAAATACTTTTGTTGTCACTTCACTCCAAGGGCATTTTATACTATTGCTCATTGTGTATGATACCAAACAAACCTATTTATATTAATACCCTTTTTAGTGGTTTGGAGTTTTAATAATCGAAATAAAATCAATAATATCAAATGTAATATGTAGCACTGTTTTCAAGGTGGAACAATAGACCTAACAGTGCACGAGGCAGGAAGTGAGCATACATTGAGAGAAGTTAAACCTGTAAGTGGTGGCGAATGGGGAGGTACAATGGTTAATACGGAATTCGAAAATTTGCTGATACGTTTAGTAGGACGAACTGTTTTTGAAAAGTTCAAAGACGAAGAAAAGGAGGATTGGCTTGAAATGCAACGGGAATTTGAGTTTCGGAAACGAGAGACAAATGTAGACAGTGAAGGTAAAATAAGCATGAGAATCCCAACATCCCTTACTGATCTTTACAATAATCACACACAACTTGATCTCAGGACTTCGTTAGAATTTTCTGAGTATGCAGGAGATATCGAACTGAAAAGGGGTAAGATGAAGATTTCTAACGAAGTCTTTGCCAATATGTTTGAGAGTTCGGTAACAAAAATTGTTGATTATCTGACGTCGTTGTTGTTCGATGGCTTACTTAAAGAAATGAGAGTTTTACTCATGGTCGGTGGTTATTCTGAATCGCGAGTATTACATCGTGCAGTTACAGAAGCATTGCCCGGAATTCAAGTCATAAGACCTGACGAGGCTTCAATGATCGTATTGAGAGGTGCTTTAATATATGGACACAATCCTGTATTAATAAGCGAAAGAATTCTCAAATATACCTATGGAACTAACTACACACCGCTTTTCATTGAGGGCATTCATCCTCATGATAAACGTTTCAAATCAAAGGATGGCAAAATTAGATGTCGGAATGTCTTTAACAAATTTGTAACTACTGGACAGACAGTGAAGCCAGGAGAAACCCAACTTACAGATACCTATTTTACTCCTTCAAGAAGACAGAAGGCTATGCTGTTTGAAATATATGCTTCAGTGAATGAAAATCCTGTTAACACAGATGATGAAGGATGCTTTGAGATTGGTAGACTAAGGATAGAGTTTGATAAGGAACGTCACACGAGAAATAGAAGAGATAGGAAAGTAACCCTAACTATGCTATTTGGTGAGACAGAAATCATCGTAGAAGTTGAAGATAAATGTACTGGAAAGAAGAAAATAACTACAATTGATTTTCCTTGGAAATAAACTTAGAATACTTTAACGTTAAGAGAATGTCCGTACCAGTTATATGTCTGATATATCTGCTCGCATAAAAAGTACAGTCATGTTAAATTTATTCATGTGAATAAACTATGCAATTATCAATTTGAAAGTTTGTAAAGAGAAATTTCAGTGATAAACGGTTTACTTTTCGTACTAATGTAAAAAGAAGAAAAAGTAAACAAAGTAAAGCAATAGTTACAAAACAGTCACAAAACAAACCCAGCCACTTTCAACCATAAAAATTGTACTAAATTCGGCACTGAATTCATGACAACGACAAGCGTTTAAAAGTGTTATCAAAACACTTTATATTATTTTCATTTTGATAACACGGCTGTAAGAATATAACTTTATATTGCAAGACAAAAATGTATTAAATAGTACTGGTTGTAGAAAATGAAATAATAGATTTTTTTGTATTACGATATTTGATATTAAGGCGATTCGATTTTGTTTCATATTTTATCTTAAGAAAATAGTTTTCAAATTGGAACACAAGGCTTGTTATATCTTTAATATATTTTCTTGTGCTTTCTGTTTTGAAAACACGGCAAGATTTGACGCAACTCCAACTTAAAGCAAATAATAATTATAGAAATGTCTTACATCACAAATATGAAATAAATACAGAAAAAAATATTTTTAAAGGCTTGTTTCTGTGTTAAGTTCCCTAATAAACGTGTTACAAAAGATGGTTTGATCGCGTTATCAATTTTGCTGTTCAATTAAGTGTTATCTTTACCTACGTTTTAAGGCCTTGAGAATTTAGATCATGTAAGGTGTTAAAAACTGAAGGCAGTTGTACAGATAACGCGGATATGTGTTTTTGTCAAGGTAGCAAAATGTAAACAAAGTGGTTTTAAAGTTTAACAAAGCACTATTCAATTATAACTTGTTGTCTTTTTTTTCTTCAAATAAACACATTTTTATTTTTTACAGGTTTGGAAATAAAAATGCATTTCTTTGTCTCTAATAATTCAGAAAGTAAGATAAAAATCAAAAGAGTCAATTAACAGTTAGTAATAAAACAATCCGTGATTTAAAGATTCGTTGCATTACAAAATGATACATTAGAAGACTTTGAAAATTGCTGGATATGTTTGATATCTAAAACAATACATGCAGAGGGAAATGCTACCAAAGCAGTTTATTTATTTATATGTTTTCATCCTTTTGACCCTTTTCTTGTGTATTTGTATAAATGAATGAACCTATTAACTTTTTAAAATGTCTTATACATTCTGATATAATACCTGACTAATTATTTTATTGTTTTTTATTGTAAACTTCACTTATAGCGAACACGGTTATAGCGAATTTCCGGTTATAAGGAACGATTTATTTTGGCCCGAATTTTGCCCTTCTTTATTTAATATAAAAATATACGGTTATAGCAAACACGGTTATAAGGAATTGTCGCTTATAAGGAACTCATGTTTCAGTCCCAATTCAGTTAAAAGTACAGAAAATTACACTTTTAAAGCGAACTCCAAAAAAAAAAAAAAGAAAAAGAATTGGAACAATGTTTTAAACTATTAATGTATTTTCTTTTTCTTTGTCAACATATTTTTTCCTTTTAAAGTCCCTTTCATCTTTCACTTCTTTGACACTGATAAACTATTGTCCTCAAAATTGTGTCATTAACCTTTTCAGTGCTGATAAATTATGTATAACCAAGAGACCTTGGAAATAACCTACTAGTAGACGGTCTCCTCCATTGACAGTCTTTGGAATACTTAAAATTGCTCGCTTATTCACAAATGCATTTATTTCACTAAAGTAACTTATTGACGAAGCATATACAATTCATATTATACATGTATATATGAATTAACACAGAGCTATACTTATTTTTTATCCTTCTGTATTATAAGTCTGTAAATTACTTAAATATTTACCAGCATCCTATTTTTGTTTTCAATATTAATTACTTATATATTTTATTAAACGGTGTCCCTTTCATGATTCCAAATATTGACACTAATAAACAATTGTCATTTAGTCTTTCCAATTTAATACCAATTATGCTTAACCAAGAGACCGTCGATTTGTATAAAATATCTGGAAAAAAATACTAATCGACGATTGTATCAAATTTGCATTTTTGAAACACCTTTTCTGGCCCTGTGACCTACTTATGTTTGAGACCGGAACGTCTAAATTCTTAACAAGTATAAAACAGGTTCGGAAAATCTTTGTTAATTAAATGCTCGGTTGTTCGTGATCTATATACCATGCCTTATCCAATTAAAAGGTTTATACTCTTTAAAATTTTCATTTTACTAAGTTTCTTACTGACATTTAATAAGTTGTGTCCGAAATAGCGAATTATGTATTTTGTTAGCTTATACGTCGTAGAGAGAGAGGGTACATAAATAGCACGATATCGTAGTACAATCTGTTAGACTAACCCTATTGAGTGCCTTACATATACAATTTTGAATTAAAGAAGATAAAACGTACAAAGGTTGTTTATTTGGTACAAATCATTTTTTTAAAAACTCTCTCTAAAGGTCTTGTTAAATAAATATATAGCTGCCTACAACATTTGCATATGATTTCAACCTTCGTAAGCAAGTAATATTTGTATAAACAATAATACTGTGAAACGAGGAAAAGGTCTACTTTGAAGATTAAAGAAAGGGCAATTACTCCAAAATAAGGCAGTGCAGAGTGACGGTTCTTTTGTACCACACTTTCACCCAATTAGATCTCTCTACATACGACGTTTCTTGTTGATGTCTCATATTTTCAGAGCAATGTCCCGGACAAAGTTCAAAGTTTAAAAATGATCAAAGGACAATAGCTCCAAAATTAAGCGAGGCAGGGTTACGGTTCTTTTGCAATGCACTTATAATCAATAAGATCTATCTACCTACAAAGTTTCTTGTTGATTCCTTTTGTAGCTTCAGAGTTATGTCCCGGACAAGAAAAAGGGACAGACGGACGTCTGGATGGGCAAACATCCAATGGTCTATAGGCTTCATTCCGTCCATAATTTTAGTTAAAACAAAGAAGAAAATAAAATAAACCGACTGGTTTATGTTGTAATTTTACTAATCTTTGTGGAAAAGTGCCACATAAAGATAACAAAACACAAACACCCTGGACGGACAGACGGACATAACGGCGTTTATATGCTCTACCTTCGGGAAGCATAAAAATGAGCACAATGTCACATTAAGTTTACATTTTGTCATAATTCCTTTTAAATTTATTATTAACTTCACATGAACGATAAAAAAACTAAAGTAGCCTAAGGTCTCTCAAAGTCCATCACAATTTACCTATTATTGTTCAATTTATTATCAAAATCAGCTGTTGGTCAATCGCCGGTATAAAATGCAATGTTTTCAGTTCGGCTAAACTTGGTCAATTATAAAAAATGGGCATAATGTCAACCTTAAATATTTTTTATCACCGTAAGTTGATTAGAAGTACATGTATAAATATTAAGTCTATATACAAAAAAACCCTGCAGGTTATTATCAAGGACAACACTTAAATAACAAAAGGAGCTTCTTTCAATAATATGACTTTTAGGATGCTAATAAAAAAGAATTTAAAATTGCTTGTAAATTTGGGTCATGTCAAAGACAAGTTGCCAAATCATAAATGAGATTAAATAGTATATTTAAATTTATTGTTGACTTTGTTATCTCACTGTGAATGACTCTGTCGTTGATCTCACTTTTTGTTTCCTACAAAAATCCGCCGAAAAAGAAATCCAAATTAATTTATAGTGGCGTAAAGATTCTGTTTATATTTATCACGTACAGATACATTTTGACGTGGATTTAATAGAATATAATTGAACTCAATACCGTCATAGAAAACGACAACAGAAAGCACGCTTCATTTTAAACCAGTACTTTTCAGTAATAATAATTTAGAGTTCTTTATTCAGCCAGTTTTATTGTTTTTATCTAGCAGTCATCTAAAGTATCAAAGTATCTCTTTTAAGCTTTACTGTTACCGGGAAAAATAATGGTGGTGGAAAAGGAAACAGGAAGGATACTGATTTATTCCTTGTGTTCTAGTAAAGCTACAAGTAGAAATATTAATTTGTACATTATAGTTTTAACTACTAATATACTTTAAGACTTCATTATTCATATGTTTTTTTTCGGGTGAAAGAAATCCGAAAATGAGTTTTTGATGAGATAAAAGTTAACAGTAAAACGATAATAGAAACCGCGCTTTATTTAGAACCGGGATTTTCATTTTAAATCATTTTAAAAGTTCTTCATTCAGTCAGTATTTATGGTTTTATCTTAACAAAATAGCAGTCATCTAAAGTATCAAAGTATCACTTCTAGGCTTTAAGGGCAATGATATTGTCACCTGAAAACAAAACAATTAGTGGTTGAGAAAAAAGAAACATTAACATAAAAGGATAGTTATTTATTCCTTTTGGTTTAGACCATTTTCAAGAAAAAAATATTCATTTGTACATTATGGTTTATATTATTAATATACTTTAAGACTTCATAATTCATATGTTTTTTCCGGTGAAAGAAATCCAATAATTAGTTTTTAATGAGATAAAAATTAACAGTTGAAAAACGAGCATCTTATCAGTTAAGGGGGCCTGCCATAAACAATGTCATTTAAGTTGCAAATTCCGTGTAGCTATGTTTTTATGTTCTTGTATACTTGAAAGACACATGTTTTGCCAAAATCAAGGCAAAACATAAAACAAAACAAATTACTGCTGTTTACTGTGTTGTACTCATTAACTAAGAAATTTACCAATTTGCAGTTTTTGTTATATTATGATAAATAAAATTGAACTGTGGGCTATGCGTTAGCAAATGGTAAGAACAAATACCTTTTACGATTATTGTTTTATCACTATGTTTATATAAACATTGTAAATGTTTAAAAAGCCTCAATATTACTAACCGCATTTATTGAAGTTAACAAGTGTGTGTGATAAAAGACTTGACACGACTAGGAACGATAACTTTTTGATAAGATAAGCACAAAACGAACAACAATAATTATTTGATAGAATAAAATGAAGTCAAAGATGACAGGTGATTCACACAATTTTTCATTATATATCTGTACATATTTTTTCTACATCAGTTGGATGTTTCATATGCACAAATACAACCAGACAGAAAAAAGATCTGTATCACACGCGAGTGTGATCCGAACTAACACCATTTTTGTTATACATAAAGTTTACTTATTGTGTACATTCGCTGTTTCTGCGGATTATTCTAATTTTTTAAACTATTTTCATGTTTAAATATTGAATTCTGCCTAAGTCAGTAGTCCACTTATTAACAGGCTCGATTAAACCTAGCATGCACTATTTTAAATTTTGTCGTTTTGGAAGTTCTTGAAGGATCAGTCTTTCTCTACATTTCAATGATAGAATGATCATAATGTTATTATAGAGTATCTTGTTCTATTACTTGAATTTTCCTCTCTCAAAATTAAATAGAACGCTTCCGTACCTCGTAAATTCCTAGTTTGGTAAATTCTTTCAGTATCAGATACAGATTTCAGATCAAAATACTCCTATTACAAACATCTTTTATCCTAAAGGTTTTGTTTTCTTCTCTCAATCATGCACCCTCGGATACAGTTTTCATCTTTATAAGTAATACAAAGATGCGTGTGTTAGT